GCCGCCCACCCACCAGCTTGGCACCCGTCTAGGTCAAAGGTTACACTCGTTTGACTGCCCTCTGCTAATCCAGAGGACAAATCTCCACCGCGTGGTGCAGCCGGCAGATACAGTCGGACGATAGCTCTCGGCGTTGTGAGCAAACCTTGAGAGTTGCACCTAATGAGCCAAGGAGGGAGCTTTGCTGATGAAGGCAGTGGGAAGTGTGCTGCCCCCACCGCCTGCCCCCCCACCATCAAGCCCACACCGCTTACTCAACGTGGAGATATTCAACTCGAGCGCCGATCCCACCCGCATCAACGGAAATGGAAGCTTGCACCTTGGACGATTAGAATCAGAATCTTAAGTTCAGACTGCAGGAGGAATCCGATGAGCTATGAAGATCTTTTGCACAGATGTCCCGTGTGGATGGTGGGACCGCAAGTTACAACGATACAAAAAAACGATAGGAGTGCAAAATAGAAAATAGTAAGCAAGTCATTGAAAATAAATACGTAAATTATTCACTTAAACATTAGCACGATTGGCTACGTACGGTGCGAGAGAAGTTCAACATACTACATACAGCCCAGTCATTGCCTTTGGGCCGGAAACTATCATGATTATCATCATCATCATCATCCATGGTCATTCCACTGCTGCACATAGGCCTTGCCCGAGCATCCACCACCTCTCACGATCTGGCGATGTACTCTAATTCACTTGGCACCCACACAGTAACCGATTTCAACGCTCCATCTCTATGGAGGACGTCCTGTCTCTCGGACGCCACGTCCCATTCTTTTGGACGCTGTGCCGTTATTTTTCCGCGACCATCATCCACCATCCCATCTGTCCGTTACGTCTCTAATCCGTGCGTTCCTATTTATGTCTCGCTGTTATTCAAATGATGCATATCCCCATTGTTCTATGCACACATAAAAAAAAGTTCAATATTTCTTGTGTTTCTAAAGCACATGTCAAAGCAGGCCTTCCTTTCGAGGAGCTGCATTCACATCCAGAAAAGTCGGGGAATTTCAGGTTATTTAAACCAAATCAAACGTAAGTGGCTACATGAACTAGAGAACTGTCACTCCACTGCTCAGTGAAGGCCTGCCCCACCCGGTTGGCCAGAGGGAATGCTGTTTGGCCTTGTGTCATCTCCTCAGATTAGCACGGTTGGCTACGTACGGCCGATCAGTCTGGGTTGGTAAAAGGGGCGGCAGGGGAGGGGGTGGGCAGTGCCATCGGACAGGTTCAGGTGTCACTCGCCACCAACGTTAGCCGTTGCCTGGAATCGAACTCGGGTAGCCGGGTTCACGGTGCAATGCACTCACACCCCCAGCAGCTGCACGCATAATTTCCTCAACGTTCAACAGGTAGGATTTCGCGACAAATATTATCCGTAACAAAGGTTTTTTTTGGGGGTTCGATTGCGTAAATTCAATACTGGCAAAATTGCCCGATTAAGCTGGATGTAATTACCAGGGAAAAGTCGTACTGAAATTGTGGTTTTACTCTCCAACACACCGTTGGCCTGAAGTTGTAACGAATTGAAATGTTTTGTTTACGTGACATACCTTACTGGTTGGCTGTGTCGGGTGGTGGTGGGTTTAACGACACATTCTAACCCCCAAAAAAACCTTTATTATTAATAATTTCCTCTCCGTTACGTTTTTTTTGTCAGTCCCTTAAATGCGGTGTGTTCCAAGTGTATACGAACACCTCATCATTGACACTAAAACCTCATCGCTCTCGCGATTACCACTGCTTTTTAACAGAAGCATTCGCTGTGTGTTGGCTAACGTTCTGAGCCACGACCCTTCTTCAGGGCACCGATGGAACTAAAATGCCTTCACACCGGTGGTCACGTACAACGCCGGCTGATAAAATCCTTACCTCCCACCACGATCGCGTGAGCTGCGCACCGAGGACATCGATTGCCATTAAAATATCCCCCCGCGGAAACAACACGCAGTGCTTAACTGGATCCGTGCGCGCCAGGGGGGACACGGACACCTAATACACAAGCGCAAAATCCGAGGCTGTCTCTACTGTGTGTGACTGTGGCTACGATCACCAAACCATGGACCACGTAACATCGCACCGTCCCAAATCTACAGGTGACGGCGGTGGGTGTGTGGGTGGCTGAGTAGGTGGATGACTAGGTGGATGACTAGGTGGGTGACTGGGCGAGTAGGTGCATCTGCGTTACGGCAACTCTCAGGCAAAGCAATCGAGCGGCTACATCACCTCGAGCTGAATCTTCCCAACAGTTGCCATTCATAGGCCACTCAACAACAAAATTAAGACTTTGCATGCAAGTGGACGCGCTACAGTGCCGCTAATCTCCGTGGTCGTGCGCCAGCGCTGCTGATAAATATTCCGCGAGATGGATTTTGACTCCCGGCGTCCGCGCTCCGTGGGGGCTATTCAGGGACAGCGCTTAATGGCACGCTGAATTATTTATTTTCTGGCGTACCCGTCCCCGTGTCAATCAGAAAACCCTGCCCGCGAGCGATTCCCTCGGGCGCGGGGTGGGGTGGCGGGGGGCTGGACGGGGGGGGGGGCGGGGGCTGCGGTTCGCCGCGGCCCCACTCGTCCGCCCGGGGGGGCGGCGGTGGCGGCGGTGTCGTCAATGGGGCCGTGCATAGCGGGTGCGTGCATTGCCATTAAGGCCCTTGCCGTAATTACTTCCAAGGTCTTGATCCGCTCGGTGCCAATTAATTGCTTCTAATCAGCCAGGTAAACACTGTTTAAGTATGGTGTGCCTCCACGTGCTTGTTGTCAGTGTTGCTTATCCGTCTGGGGCAGCGGTTTTTGCACAGGCCGCTCGGCTCACAGGCAGAAGGCTGCGAGTAAGTTCAAATCCCGGCCAGGCGTTGACTCAGAGTGAGTAAAATTGTAATGTGCGGCGCAGTGCTTTTAGCTCGCTCACGCAGGGAAGAACCGCAGACAAGCAGGAAGGCAACCGCGCGGTGAGCCGGCAGTGCCAACGATTTCCCAAACACTGCAGTCCTTTATTTGTTAAGGTGTTTCAGCCAATTAAATCTTGACTTTAAGCTTTCGTGACTGCAGGAATTCATATTCTTTGGGTCTTTCGGTAAAGTCACGTAGAACACAAAAAAATTGCTCTACGTGACTTTATCGAAAGACCCAAAGACTATTTCAGCCAATTAATGAGTGTTTACATATGGAATGAAAAAAAAACACGGAGCACCCGGAAAAAAAACCCACAAATGCGAGGGGACAACACGCTTTGCCATGCAAATGGAACAGGTGGAGTCCACATGTTTTGCTTGACTGCCTTCTCCTGACAAGCCAGGGTGTATGACACCTCGAAACATTCATAAAGGGTGTTTCTAAAAAACGTCTGTGCGATCCACCAACCCTCACATGTGCAGCCACCAGGGCCACCACTGCACGGCTGTGACACTTCTTTGCGGGACGCTTGGTTAACGCGTGACAGCCAACTGTGGTCAGGACGTCAACAGTGGTCATCATGTGGAGAGGCTGGCCGCCCCCATCCCCCCGTTGCGATGACTGTTTTCTAGGGGCGCCACGGTGACGAGACGTCATCTCCCTCGCCTGGTATGCAGGATGGTCATGGGTTCGATCCCAACCCTGAGACCTGCTGCTGTATATTTTGGGTTTTCACGTGGTCCTCCCCGTGGCCGTGTGGGTTTTCTCCGGGTCCTCCGGTTTTTTCCTCCACATTTCGACTGAACGCGTGTTTAGAGTATTTGGCTGCTATCAATGTCCACGTGACAAGCCACTTTGTTCAGCTGTCATTAGTGATGGCCAGGTCGCTTCTGAAAAAGAGCTACATAGCTCAAGCAGGCCTTACCTGGTGAAATTTAAATAAAGTTAATAGTTGTATATACGTGGCTGTTTGCATGCGGTTGTAGATGGTGTGTGGTCTGTGAAAGCCAATCTCGTAAGAATGTTTCGAGGAGATGGCAGCACAGGGAGCTTGTTTTTGTACTCCGCTCATGTTTTCGTACTGTTGTTGTTACGTTTTTACCCGTCCCTACTGGATGTCTGTGAAAAAGAGCTTTACAGCTCACCAGATTCCTCCAGTCTAAATAAATATTCGGTCTCTGATTCTTCACGTGCGAAGTTGCAATCTCAACGCGGTCATCATCGCAGAATAGTAGTGCACGGCCCGGAAAACGTCGAGTTTTCAATCAAGATGCAAAGCAATGTGGCTGTGGGGAGAGGGAGACGCCCCACGGCCATTGTGCATGTGCAACAACAAATCCCCATCATCATTTACCTGATGAGGTGCAGAAGTGGTCATCTTGAGTCGTTTTACTTTCACAAATTCTGCTGCAGGCACCTTCGATTGGTGCTGGGCCAATCCCACTTGATGAAGAATGCTGGTGTGTGATTGGCAGCATACAGCACTTTGTTTCTATCGTCGGAGGGCGTCATGTAGGCTGTATGTGTGTGAATTGTAAAGCCTTTCTGACAAAATCCATATCGTTTTATTTCTGCCATTGACCCATTATTGCGATCAGTATTTACATCCCTACGGTGTTGCGGTCCGTTTCATGTTAACTTATTTTATATATATTTTATATATATATGTTAGCAAATGTTACTCAAGATTGCACGGTTGCCACGGTTATATCGGTGACCCCGTTTTATGTGGAGGGCAGACGATAATTTGTCGACTGCCGCAGAATCATAATGACTATTGAGCCACTAATGGAGGTTTGAAACGTGTTCCTTTTTTTTACGCTTGATAGGCCACTCGCAGCCAGCCAGCCATCCGGCCTGCCTGCCGCTCTGCTGTTTTGACTTAGCTCCCCCACCATGGTCCATCGCTCTCCAACCCGCCCTCCTCCCCGAGCCAGCCGTCCTCCGCTCTCTTTTTTTTGCGTCCGACATTACACGCCTTGCCCTCGTTGCCGCTCGAGCATCCGCCGGAACAATCTGGATCACGACTCGAGGTGGCGCGCAATTCACCACGTGTGCTCTGCCTTCCCCCCCCTCCCCGCCCTTCTGTGTCGTTTCAGGGCTCCACGGTCGCAAGGGAAGCGAGCGAGAAAGAGAAGGTGAGCACGGTTCATGGTTGTTTTTTTCTCCCCCCGAGAAGCTTTTTTCGACGGTGCGTTCCCCCACAAACCCCGCGGCGCCGCGGGCACTCCTCCGTCAAGGGCGACGCGGTGGTGAGATGTTAACTACCTCGTCTGGTATGTAGGAGGTCGTGGGTTCAAACCCGACCCCTGATGCCTGCTGTATATTTTGAGTTTGCGCGTGTCTCTCTCGTGTCGATTTTTCTCCGGGGTCCCCTGGTTTTTCCCTCCACATTGAGAATCAACATCACACGTTCAGCGTATTTGGCTACTGTACATTTCCACGAGATAGGTCACTTCATTGAACTATCATTTGTGTTAGCCATGTCGCTTCTCAAAAAGAGCTATACATGATAAAATAAAATAAAAATAGTTTAAGCCAGCAAACCGAGTTCGATTACAGGGAAGGGCCAACATCAGTGGCGAGTAGTATCTGAAATGGTTCAGCACCCGCCACTATATCGAACCGGAATCTATTTAGACGGGAGGAATCCACTGATCTACGAAGCTCTTCTTCACATTCGTGGTGAAGCAAGATTAGTTGGCTCCCCGTGACCCGACGTTTGAATGCAAGAGGGCCTTCATTCGTCCGTGGCTCGACAAAGAGCTATACATTATTGAATGCAATTATTACTGCGACGGTTTACTTGCCGAGAATAACGTGTGGTGGGTGTGGTGGGGGTGGTGGGGGTGGTGGGGGTGGGGACGGGTGAGGCCTGCGGTGTGTGTCCCTGCGGGGGTGGCGTTACGCTCCGCGTGCTGGCAGCTTCGTCGGCAACTGAATGGGTGGGTGTTGGGTTCAGTTCTCCCGACCGGCGTGACCCGGATATCGCGCGCCGAACGGCACGTGGCCCGAGCAAAAGAATAGCCCGCCGGAGAGCCCTGCGTGCGACCGTGAGAACCGTGTCACCCCCAGGCACCGGGAAAAATTCTTCTCTCTCAAACGTTTCGGTCGGGTCCTCTTCACTTCTTCTCCCGGTGGTGATTGGTAGATGGCAAGGCCGCTTTGCGTGTCGGTGACAATTTCCAAGCGATAAAGCCACCTTCTTTGAGCTATCATTTGTCGTCAGGTCGCTCGTGTTATAGATTTACGTAGCTCAGCTCCCGGGGCCTCTCCTCAAGCAGATGTTGAGGCTGCTGGTCCGTGTGCAGGGTTGCGATTTCCGCATGGAAAATGCGGAAGGAGGGTTCAAATTTTCCCGCATTTTTGCTAAAGTCAACCGCAAACGGTGGAAAGACTACTCCTATGACCGCGCGCTTTTAACAACACGTTAATGCGTTCTATTGGAAAGGATACATCATGTACATATGTGTATGTGGTTCTTGTGCGGAAATGCGGAAATCATATATTCATTCCAATCAGTAACTCAAAGCCCTACGTGATGCTGGGCCTTGCATGTATCCTTTCCAATAGAACGCATTAACGTGTTGTTAAAAGCGCGCGGTCATAGGAGTAGTCTTTCCACCGTTTGCGGTTGACTTTAGCAAAAATGCGGGAAAATTTGAACCCTCCTTCCGCATTTTCCATGCGGAAATCGCAACCCTGTCCGTGTGGAGTGCAGTGCCCCTTCCAGTGAAACTCGCCCGTGTACACCCGTTGCCTGCGCGTGATATTCGTTGGCATCGACGCGATGGCGGTTATTTGGCTGCTGTAAATTTCCACGTGACGAGGAGTTTATTTGTCGCCGGGTCGCTCCTGCAGAAGAAGCTAATAGCTCTGTGGGATTTACGTTTTCAATTAAAACAGTTAATTTGTATGTGTTTTGTGATTTGCGTATCTTTCCTATACTTTGCGCTCCTATCCTGTTTTTCTCTTGTTGTAACTTTCTGAACGCGTACCTCTACTGGACATCTGTGGAAAAATTGCTTTATAGCTCATCGGATTCCTCCGGTATAATTAAAAGATTCTGATTATGGTTTGCAGTGGCAGGAGAGGATGTCGCCTTCGGTGCATTAAACCCTCGCGCGGATTTGGAAAAGAGTCATTTGGTATTGTTCCCAGCCAGTGCTGATGCCGTAAATAGTCAATCAGTGCGCGCCGAAAGTGGGTTGATACTTATTTTCTGTCGACTGTTGAATTAACTCTTTTATCGAGGGTGACACTTTAAGTGGGTGCTGATCTACTTCTGATCAGCGGGAGCAAAGCGATCTTGATCCAGAGAGCTCTCACACCCCGGGAAATAGATTTCTCTGAAAATTACTTCTGGTGGGGGAAAATGTGGGTACCCCCCCCCCCCCATCTCTTTCGACCTGTCTGGCGCGAGTGTGGAGGATTTTAACAAGACGCAGCGGCGTGCTGCTGCTCGCAAAGAACGGGAAGGGGTGTGCCTCCCATCATGCCTTTGCACTGCATTGTCACGTGACTAGCACATTGCATGTGCAGTGCCGATTGTGAGCAGCGCGCGTCCTTTGTCGTTCAACCCGTTGTTGTCCAGCCTACGCACATTTGCTCGTCGCTTGCTCCGGTGCGTTTTGTCATCATTTGCCGAAAGCATTAGATTCGAATTAAGTGGGCAGGAGTAGTCTACGTTTTTCGAGGGGGTTAACCTTTATACAGCGGCTTGATACATTCTTCTCGTGCGGACGAGGGAGGTTTCCCCGCAGTAATAATTGCATTTAATAATGTATAGCTCTTTGTCGAGCCATTGATGGATGGAGGCCCTCTTGTTGCATTCAACGTCCAGTCGCGGGGGGCCTTTTTATCTCGCTTCATCACGAATGTGAAAAAGAGCCTTGTAGTTCAGTGGATGCCTCGAGCCTCAATAGAGATTCCTGTTCTGGAGAGCGAAGTGAGGGCCCTCCACCATTTCGGGTACCACTCAACACTGATGTCGTCCCTTCCCTGGCTGAAACTAAACAATAGTTTTGTTTTTTTACCAGGTAACGCCCATTCGGCTATATAGCTCTTTTTTCAGAAGCGGCCTGGCTATCACAATGATAGCTCAACAAAGTGGCTTATCGCGTGGAAGTGTATAGCAGCCAAATACTCTAAATGCGTGTTGATTCTAAATGTGGCTAAATGTGGCTTCATTGTGTCGTACGCTAACCACGATACCACCGCTCCCTCTCTGTAGTGCCTGTAAGAGATTCTCTAATGCAATAATGGGGTTTAGCCAGTGCAGCCTAGACTCGGCACGAGAGCTTCGGTTTATTAAACTGTTAATCTACCAGACCACGGGGAGAACATGCAAACTCCAAATGCACAGGCAGTCAAGATCGAATCCACGACCTCCTGTATACCCGGCGAGGTAGTTAACATCTCGCCACCGTGGCGCCCAGTATAACTGGCATTGACCAAACATCCCGATGCTGAACAGATTACGTGCACGTTTTTCAACTTGGATCGCACACAGCAGCAACAACATCGCCCGCTCGTACGAAAACTTGGCAAATATACAGCAGGCGTTCAGGGTCGGGATTGAACCCACGACCCCCCCTGCATACCAGGCGAGGTAGTTAATATCTCGCCAAAATCTGAGCAGATTAGGCCGATGGTTATTCACGGTGAGTGTGCGTACGCACGTGTGGGGTTGCACGTAGCGTTGACCGGCAGGGTGAGCTCGATGCATTTTTTAACACCTTTCACTTTTGAGTGAAAAATCTATTGTGGAACGATGCCGTTAAAGTACATTTTGTGTGAGCAGCTGCGCTCTCCTTGGGAATGAATTGGTTGTTAGCAAGCCAGCGTGATGATATACAACAGCTGTCGTAGCTTTCGCTCGCTCGCTGCCGCTGCTGCTGCTGCTGCTCCAATAACAGCATGCAGGTGATGTGGAGACGATTTATTTTTGCCGTTTATGATGCACTATGTCCACACGTCTGGATCCTTCCTTGCTATTTTTTTAAATACTTTTTTGTTTATCTTTCCACCTGCAATGTGCCGAGTAATAACGTAATGCTGGTAATAACATTTTAGTCGTTATGTGTACGTTTTGTCTGTGCGGAGCCACAGACAAAAGCTGGATGGCAGCAGCCAGGCAGTCAACCGTTGCTACCAAATAATCTCTCAAGCTCTGCAGTCCTTCCTGTGTTCACCCTTTCCCGTTCCAATGATGTATGTGCGTGTACGTCATTGGAGCTGAGTTGGAAGTTAAAGGCCATGCGGGGGAGCGTGTGGCACAGTTTGGCGCCAGCTATCGTAGAGTGCGGTGGTCGTGTCGCTACAGTTCTCTGCGGTGAGTACAATGTCTTCAAAAACAGCGGCGCTACGCCAAATAAATAAATAAACTCATGCTAACCGCTTGCGAGTTTCGAGATACAGCAGTAAACGGGGGACACCCACCCTGCAACTTGCAGACATCTCGGAACAGGAAAGGGTTAGGTATTCTTATTCTTATTAGGGTTAGGTGTTTTCAGCCAAGGAATGAACGTTTATTCAAGTGGGAGGACATCGGAGCAGCCAGAGAAAAACCCGCGCATGTGAGGGGGCAACACTCTATCCCCGTGCAGATGGGACTGCCTTCTCCTGGCAAGCCAGGGTATGGCTGCTACTCGATGCTCGCGTGAACGGACGTTGGTAACGGCCGTTCGATCCACCAACCCTCGCTGCCTCCCCGGCGCTAGATTACAGGCTGTGTGCATAGCCACCACTGCCCTGCTATAATGGTGGGGCCGGGAGAGGGCTCAGGAAGCGGATAGATTCCTTATGTGTGTACGTATGTACGTTGAACTTCTTTCTCACCGTACGTAGCCAAATGTGCTAATAAGAGGTGCGGGGGAAGGACAACAAGCTAAACACAAAAAGCAGTTCAAAAGAAACGAGTTTTCAATCTACATTTAAAAGTGCATAGCTCCCAGTGACTTCCTAATATCGGAAGGAAGAGTGTTCCAGATGGCCGGAACAGCGCATCTGAAAGCACCGCGCGATGCGGTGTCTGTCTCTGTTCGATGGCCAGCCGAAAGCCACCGCTACGAGGATGACCGGAGTTCCTTATAAATTTACGATGCACAGAGACGAAAAATCGTGACATTGTTGGACTACACAAGCCGCCCTGTGACAGAGCTTAATAAATTGGGTCTGATTTCCAGCCACAAAATGGAATAACGACCTTTTCCTGGAAACAGGCTTTCAAAGCTGCCTCTGCTGCTTGTCAAATGGGTCTCATTTTCCCAGGGGTTCAGGAAATGTAATTGGAAGTCCCACTGTCAGGGTGTCGCCACATCGCAGTGTCCACCACCTATCTTAACTGCTAATGTCAGTGCCGTGTAACAGCAGCAGCAGTAAGCTCTTTTCAAGGCCAGAAAGGTCCATAAAAGCAAAATTAAATTTCCAGGAAATGCCAGGAAAGCCAAGCAAAAAATGGGTATTTCTATAGCTCAGTGGAAATGACTTAGTCGATTGATTTGGCTTTCATTTATAAAGCGCTACACTTCCCTGTCATATTGGCTTACGTATTCAGCTTAGTAAAAATGTTTTTTGAGGAGAAAAACAACGCGTATAAACTCGGACGCGACATGGCCACAAACTACAGCTCACTGGAATGGCTTATCACGTGGAAATTTATAGCAGCCAAATACTTAAGACACATGTTTATAAATGTGGAGGGATAAACTGGAGGACCCGGAGGAAAATCCACCAGACCATAGGGAGAACATGCAAACTCCAAATACACAGGCATCAGTCAGGATCGAATCCACGACCTCCTGTATACCCGGCGAGGTAGTTAACATCTCGCCACCGTGGCGCCCAGTATAACAGTCATTGACCAAACATCCCGATGCTGAACAGATTATGTGCACGTTTTTCAACTTGGATCGCACACAGCAGCAACAACATCGCCCGCTCGTACGAACACTTGGCAAGACATTCCTGAAAACGAGTCTTGGGATTCAGTGAGATTTTCCTGGTTAAAACTCGCATAATAAGAAGAAGAATCGTCTGGGCGATAGTTAATCACCGCTCTACGGGTCTATGACAGGTTGATAAGTTCACCAAGCGCATGTAAGTTATTCCTTACTATGTGCTCCATAGGAATAAATACGTTTAAATATAATTTTTTGAAACTTCTACAAGCAACGCCAACATTACTCAATTCAGTGGATGTAACAGCGTTGTTAAATTGATATTCATTGTTATATTTTCACGTTCATTAAATGTTTTTTTTTACTTTGAAGGCCACACCGTTCTTGACGAATGCGTTGCTTGTGGTTTAGTCCTCGTGCACCACTGCCACTTTGTTTGGACGCAGCTGTGCTCCGTCATCGTTGTCGTCTCACAAAATTGTCACCAGCGCAGCAAACATCTGTAAGTGGGTTTAAAAAAACATAAAAATTGCATCTAAACCCTGCTGCGGAAGTTACTTCGCTCATTAATGGAAGTAAAAAAAATCTCACCTTAACCATATTTTGTAGTTTAATTCTCAGTGTCGTAATCCTGCATTCCCACACAAATGAGCCCTAACAGAAACACAGATCCCCCTCTGGTTTTCTATAGACAACATGGTAGTGTGTCACGTGTACATTGACATGAGGCTTAAAACAAACGCAACGTGTGTTTTCATTGGCTTGACCACTCTCCGTGTGCGTTTGTTTGTTTGCTGTAGTGTAGCGGTGAGCACTGCGCCACAAACCCGGCGAGCCGAGTTCGATTCCCGCTCACGGTCAACGCCAGAGACGATTATTTGAACCGGTCCTGGGCCTCCCCTAGGTCGACTCAGCCTCAAATGAGTACCTGGTGCGATGTGTAAACATCGTCACTTGGGAGGCAAAGGCGGCCGGGCGTGGTGTTGGCAACCCACCCCCGTGTGTGCCGTGCCGGCCTCCATAGGTGCTGCTCGCTAACAGCACTTGCCTCAACTGTCTGCACAGGGGAAATCTTTGTCTTGCTTGCGGAATCTTTTTTCACGTACATTTTTGGCTCTCTTACGTGTTTTATTTTCCAAACCTGAGAAAACGGAAGACACGAGCGAGCTATCCATTATCTGCTGCGGAATGGTGACATTGCCAAGCGTGAGCTGCTGTTTGGAATCAATGGTGGGCTGTTTATTTTGTCAGTCGTCAACAGCCATGATTAATCACTGCTGGATGAAGGCCCTCCCCAACAATTTCTCCTCGCCGTGAGCCGGTTTCATTTCTGCGTCTGAACGTCCTCTCGGGCTTGTTTCCCCCTCCTTTGGGTTCCACGCCGTCATGAGTCTTAACCGTCGGCCATAATTGTTGTCAACTTCCTGACCCCGTGCCCCTACTGGAAAATCTGTGAAAAAGAGCTTTTTAGCTCATCAGATTCCTCCAACATAAATTAATATTCTGATTTTGATAATCTCTTGGAGCGACATGTGATGCATCCAGCTTGCATGTTGGCATCGGCCATGGTCTATTCGCTGCTGGATGAAGGCCTCCCCCAAGCACCGACCCATCTGGCTCCTGCACACAAGCTGACTTCCTCGCTCCATCTCTGCAGTGGTCTTCCTTTCAGGCGTGTTCCCTTCTTTGACGGCAAATTAATTAATTAAATTTTATTTTGCCAGGTAAGGCCCACTGAGTTATGCAGCTCTTTCAGAAGCGACCTGGCTATCACAAATAATAGCTCAACGGAAGTGGCTTATCATGTGGACATGTATAGCAGCCAAATACTTCAAAGGCATGTTTCTAAATGTGGAGGGAAAAACCGGAGGACCCAGAAAAAAAACGACGAGACCGCGGGGAAAACAGGCAAACTGCAAATACACAGGCGTTAGGCTCGGGATCGAACCCACGACCTTCTGCATATCAGGCGAGGGAGTTAACATCTCGCCATCGCGGTGTCCATTTGCCTTGCCCGTCAGCCATCATCGATTTAGTGATGCATCCAGAACAAATACAAAAGAATGTAACAGTCAATGTGATACATCTAACCTTGTATATGTTCTCTCATCCATGTGCTCCTCCTTCTGGCTCTCAGCGTAATTAAGAACATACTGCTCTATATTATGTCTGCATAATTGTCAGCATTTTAATCTGATTTTTTTCCATGCGTGCATGAGCGCAGTCAACATGTTGCCACATGTGAATTTAATAGGGGGGGGGGGATTAAACCAACGCGTTTTGTATTATTGTGGAGGGCTAAAGCCCTCCCCATTACCAATTTGTCACTGGTCAGTGGGGCTTTTCAACATTTAATGATGCGTTTAAAATGACATAAATTATGTAGACGCTATTAACGTGACGGCCGCGGTGAGTTCTGTCCGGCCCGTGGTGAAGCTGAAAGTGGGGAGGGGGGGGGGGGTGCGGGGGCCGTGTGTGACCCCCCCCCCTCCACCTCCCCCCATCTCCCCCCACCCCCGTGGAGTTTTGCCACGGCTCCGTCCAGCCAAGCGCCGACATGAACTTGATTTTGCGCCAGACTTTGGAAGTGGCGCGTCTGGGATCCAGCTGGGAGTCATCAACAACGACGACGACCCCAGTCCGGGTGAAACGAGGAGACTCGGCGGCATTCCACAGCCCCCAAAAGTTTATACGGATACAGCTTTTTATTATTTTTAGATGTTAATTACCTGCAGGAGGTTGCGGGTTCGAACCCGACCCTAATGCCTGCTGTCAAGTGGATTTTTCTCTAGGTCCTCTGGTTTTTCCCTCCACATTTAGACTCAACATCATGCATTTCGAGTATTTGGCTGATTTCATTTTCCACGTGATAAGCCACTGTGTTGAGCTATCCTTTGTGGCCAGGTTGCTTCTGAAAGAAAGGTATATAGCTCAGTGGGCCTTACCTAGTAAAATAAAATTAGTTTATAGTTTTGTAGTATAGTTATAAATAGTTTATAGTTTCGTTTTTAGTTTTCTTTTGGCGTTTGGTGAGATTCGGCGTGGAAAGGTAAACTTAAACGCCGAGAATCGTGAGCCACGCTTTGGATTTTTGTTGTTACGTGATGGTTTTATTTCTTACGCACTTTAGGTTTCTGTGAAGTATCGCTCCAGGCAAGAGTTGGTGATGTAAAATAACGTATTTATTGTTGTTAAATATATGCTGCATTGCCGTACTATTTCCAAAATTTATCAGCGTTATTCCTATTAAAAGTTTTATTTTTCGTCCATCGTAGAACGCTGTGAGAAGGACGTTACCACCACGGGGCAATAGTTGGCACATTGGACTTGCTATCGAGGTCGCCAGTTCAATCTCCCGGCGTGGCAGTTGTATTCAGTTGTGGCAAAGGGCCACGTTGCAACAATGGGCCACCAAGGTGATGAGATGTTGACTACCTCGCCGACGAAAACATACGTTGTAATTTCACCTCTACTTTGTAGGTATAATGATTGTGCGCTGTCAAGGGCGGTTTGACAGACATCATTCATCCAACAATGTGTTTGTGCAAATCGTTAGCTCTTTGTTGGAGCTGGACTCGGGTAAATTAATTATTTAAACGACGAGCGTAACAAAAAAAAACGGATGTCATTTGCAGTGGCATGCCAGCCTTTGTTTAAAGCTTTGTCCTCACTAATGCAGTCGAGTAGAACAAGTGGCGCTGATTACGACGCGCGGTTCAACGCAGGAGTGTGTACCGCTTTTTCTAAAAATAAAAACGAATCCGCCGACCTTCATCCAACTAGCGCACACATTTGTCAATGTCACTGTCTAGCGTGTGTGCTCTTCCTCACGTACACCCATCAGTCCGTCTGTACACCTTAACCTATAATGCGTTGCAATTGCGTCACGGCATTCACGGCGTGCCCCCCCCCCCCCGCCGACACTGTGGGGCTGAACTTTGTCGGCTCGGGCGCGGTGGCCCGCGCGCCGCGTCCTCCCATACACACCGCGGTAAATAAGCCGTCGAGAGAGAGAGGGCTCGTTACAGGCACGGGTCACCGCAGCGATGCATCACGGGAGTGATGGGCGTGTTCCAGACCACCTCGCTTTCCCCCCTTTTCTCCACTCCCCCCTCATAGCGCGTGTGTTTTGGCCGCTCACTCACTCGTGTGCGCATGCGTGTTTCTTCGCAGGCGAAGGAGCTGCCCACGTTCAAAGACAACGACTTCATCAACGAGAAGCAGAGGATCGTGATCGGAGAGGAGAACAAGAAACTCTTCCTCGAAAAGCTGAAGAGGGACGTGGAGGTAAACCCAACACCGCCTCCCACATCGTCGCCATCGTCGCTATTGCCTCTGCCGTCCAAAATCCATCGCGTGGGGGGGCGGGGTGACAATCCACACCGCTCTCCCGCACCTCGCGACTTCCTGTCGAGCAGCCTCGCGCCACGCACCCCCCCCCCCCCCCCCCCGCGAATTTCAAATGGCTCTACAAAATGTAAAACCGTCGTTTTTAAAACCCTCCTATATAAAATGGGGGTTTGCTGTACTTGAAAAAAATCAATCCCAGAGGCCCAGTGCACTGAGCCGACCCCTGTCCCTCGTGTTTAAAGCCATAACGCTCGTGATCACGAATGGGATATCCTGCCCGCCGTGCCCGACAGAGCGTCCGTGTTCACCCACGCCAAATAGCCCCAACGAACACGCAGCGTCGTGAAACATCCGACCTATGCAGCACAGCATCTTTTTGTCTTGCACGCGCCCGAGTTCATTTCATTGCTGCCTACACTCTCTGTAGCATTGGTGACCGATCGATAAACATTTATGTCCCCCCCACAAAGACAAAGATCCCCCGTGTACAGACTTTCGGGGCAAGTGCTGTTAGCGAGCAGCACCTATGAAGGCCGACACGGAACATGAGGGGATAGGTAGCCAGCACCATGCCCGGCCGCCATGGTCTCCCGAGTGGCGATGTTGACACATCATCGTCGGGTTCGTGGCGCAGCGCGCTGTCCGCTACGCCACTGCCCCAACTCAAGGAACAACGCGCGTAGCTACGTAGCGCAAACTACACATGCTCGCGGATAAAACAAACACTCTTACTCAAGATAACCTGCCAAGCCGCATAGAGTCTGTGAGCGTATACACCTCCAGTTATCCGGGAATCTAACCCGGATCATCACCAGGTTCATAACGCGGCGTGCTGACCGCTCCACTACACTGCCGCTCCCCCCCCCCACACACACACTAGCGCAGCACCAGGCACGGGCCTCGCAGCAATGCGCAGCTCGGGGGACAATAAACACCACGAGGTAGTAACCCAGTAGTGGCCGCTCCACAAGCACCGCGTGGCTCGGTGGGAAAAACCTTGGCCGTCTCTGTTCTGCGGCCATAGCTGCCCGCATCGTCCCCGGAGCTGCCTGAGCTCGCGGTGACGTCCAATACCCAATTTGGAAAATACAAGACCGGGAGCACACGGTCTTTATGTATAATGATAACGATGATACTTGAATTGTTTATCCAGGAGAAAAGCCGTATCGAGACTCAGGACTCATTTCCCAGTCTGTTATTGTTTTGACATCAAGTCATTCGCAAAGGTGTAGGGTCAGTCGGTATCCCTGCAATAGCCATTAGTTTTTTGGGTTTTTTTTTTGCCGTGACTGGCAAGGGAATTGGGAAAATTAATAACGCTCTCACTGCAACCGTGTCCGCCCAGGGTCACCGTTGTATAAGAGATAATGACTCGCCAGACGCTGGCCTGGTTTGAATGGCTCAGATGAATTGATTGCTCGAAATGCAATGCGATGCTGGGATGACCAAGCTTGCTGCAGCTACAGGTTTTGAACATTTCCTTTTCTCCTTCGCTCCACCCTCTGCATTGGTGATATCAATCTGGCGGCACAAAAAAAATAATAAACGTTAATCCCACCGTTTATAATTGGGCGTACGTGGTATAGAAAAATATTGCTTTCATCATTTCAACGATGCACAGCCTACCTGGCGGTGACCACAGCTTGCGTAACGCGCGTGTGGAGAGAATCGCACGGTTCAGCGTCTAGTCCTGCTGCCGCTGGAGCCACTCTCGCACCCCGTGGCTTTGTCCAGGGGATTTGTAGTACAGGGTGCTTATTATATCGTTGTATGCAGTATTCTCTCGTTTGTTGACTGTGAACTCACCTTGAATCTGTTGGCAGCTTAAGAAGATATGAGAAATTGCAGCCATGCTTTTATGTACGGAATCAATTTTACTGGTAGTAACCTCCTGGTTACACCAGCCCACGGGATTATTGTGTCCGTCCGTCGTGCAGGGAGGGGCTGGGTTGGGAGGGAGGGGCTGGGTGGGGACGGGTGGGCTGGGTGGGGAGGGGAGGGGCTGGGTGGGGAGGGGCGGCTCACCCCGTGGTGCCCTTATAAAACTCAACGTTTAACCTACTTACGCCGGCTTGTGCCCGCCCTCACAGTCGGCCATATTTGCGGAATACACCACGCCGCCGTTGACCCTGGCCATTGACCGAGCAACCCAACGTTACTACCAGTTCCCTCCGCAGGAATGTGTTGTGAATTAACCTACCCTGTAAGTTAAGTTAAAACTAGAAACTATTTTTATTTTACCATGGAAGGCCCACTGAACTATATAGCTCTTTTTCAGAAGTGAGCTGACAAAGAGCTTTATAGTTCAGTGATTCCCGACCCGGGCACCTTTCTGCGTGGACTGTGTGCGTTCTCCCCACTGTTGTGCGTGGTCTTCTTGTGGATTATCTTGTTTCCTCCCATAGCTAAACAGAAAACATTCAGTGTGACTCCTATTGGCCAAACATCCCAATGCTCAAAGAATCACCCGCTAATTACACAATTTGGGATTACATGCAGCAGGAGCAGCAGCAGCAACATCGCCACCTACAGATAAAACGTCTTAAGACTGGGTGAGGCTTTGCCGCGTAAAAAAGTGTAATAAGAACAATAATATAATGATAACAGGATAACTTAGTGCACACACACATTTTGGGACACTTGCTCTTATTAAAGATGCAAGCCATGTCAGGCTGCAGCTGCATTATCATTACGGCTCAGACCCCTGGGCCGAAGCACCCACGCGTGAATTATCATTTTCTTCGATGCAAGGGTGCAGCTCGTAATCTACGCGACGTGAATATCAAGGCTGGCTGCTCGGCCGTTCAGACGGATTATACGGAGCCCTTGCTTCACACGTGTGTGCCTTCTCGTTCTCCTCCTCTCGCTTTATTATACCGTCTTGATCGGTATATTCCAATGGGTATTTAGCTTTTGAGGATACTCAAAACGTGATCGTCAACGGTGGCATGTAAGCGTCCATGTGAGGCTAATTCAAATGAAGTTTTTCTTTTATCATTTCAGTTTTTCCTCATTTCAGTTTTAAGAGAGCAAGCATGCACGACCTACAAATCACATTCTTTAGTATCGTGCCCTTCACAATACAATTGTCACATAGCACTTGACAGATGGGCACATTAAAACGTATATAACATTACATCAATACAAATTTAAATCAGTCAACGTAATAAAAGGTATACAGATTGGTTCAACAAAAAAAAAACCATTATCAATCCACTCCCCAAGCGTGTAAGCAGACGCCATAAACCGACCATCAAATAGTAGCGTCAAGCTGGCAGACAGATTAAGCCACAGGGATTTGTGTCAGACCAAAGAGGAGATGGGTGTTCAGCAACCGTTTAAATGTGCACAGCTCGTACGTACGAACAGAACGCTCATTTCCCGCTCTTTGTCATTCCACTGCTGGATGACGGCCTTCTCTACTCGGCCTTGGGGGTAGTTTGATCATAACGTCACCAGACCGGCTCCCATTTCACTCGCCACCGATGCTTGCCGTGCCGTCGCCGATGCTTCGTGGTGCTGTGCGCGAAATACTGCGACACCGCTCTATACCCGTAGCAAATCAAAACAAAAACTCACCGCCTTCCTCATGAACTCTCCATTACAACCTGAAGCTAAATGAGAATTTAAAGCTAAATTATAATTTCAATAACGATTTGGCCAATGCCATTGCTAATGACGAGGGTGGTGGTGATGTTTTTGGCTTGAGTTTGGCACGCCACTGCCAACCAGGGCTGGAAACCACGAGGACCCTGCTGCCTTGGGGCCTCCACCACCAGAAGGCCCTTTGCACCAGCCCAACGGTCGGTCACTCTCCCTCATGGCGTTGCCCAGCTTACCGGCTCCCACACAACGGCTAAACCAAACTATAAACACATTTTTTTTGGTTTAACACGTAGACCTCCTCGACCAATATTATTCATAATACTCTCCAACACACGGGTGTGTTGGATTTTTTCTATGACACACGGGTGGACTTAAGTGGTAACGAATTGGCATATTGTTTACGTGAAGAATCCCTTACTAATTGTCTGTGTCAGGTGGTGGAGGTTACGACACATTTATACTTACGCGATCTAACCGAAAAATCTTTATTATTAATAAAAAATATATTTCACCAGGTAAGGCCCAGAAAAAAAGTGGATACTTATTGTAATGGCCTCAGAGGGATGTTGGACAAAACCAACTCCCAACCAGGTGGTTTGGACTCCTAAACCTTCTGACTGTGAGCCACTTGCTCCAATTCCCCCCCCCCCCCCCCCGGATAATTCGTGAGCAATATTGATTTAATGATATCAGCTCATTAAAACTAGGTAATAGACCACTGGTAAAATGTAATATGGTGATCCTTATCATATTGCATTGGTATTCGACCTTGAAGACCTTAACATTGTTTGGGATGTTTGTATAAGGATTTGGCACTATACCTTTGGCATACATGTATATTTAATCATCTGTATAGTCTGGAGAATTTCATGCAATCTATTTACTTTGGCTCCTGCACTCAGTAAGGGTGCTTATTATATCAATGTATGCAGTCCTCACATTTGTTGACTCACCTTGAATGTGTTGGCAGCTTTGTATATTGACCCATGCCGTTAGTTAAGTTAAAACTATTTTTGTTTTACCAGGTAAGGCCCACTGAGCTATTTAGCTAATTTTCAGAAGAGACTTACCTACTCCTGTTCATCATCCCCTACGGGACGTGAGGCTACTTTCAGAAGAGACTTACCTACTCCTCTGGCTTATCATCTGCAAATGTATAGCAGCTAAATTTTAAATGTGGACGGATAAACCCGGAGGACCCCGGAGAAAATGCACGTGACCATGGAGAGAGAGAAACCCGTAAACTCCAAATATACAGGTGTCAGGGTCGGGGTCAAACCCACGACCTCCTGTACACCAGGCGAGGTAGATTACATCGCTCCACAGCAGCA